ATCAACAAGAATCACGAAGAGGTCAATTCCATCAGATGTCTCTAGAATTTTTGATCCTCTTGGTCTGGTAAATCCATGTGTGATGATAGCGGGAGTTCTACTGCAGAAGTTATGGTGTGAGAAAATGGATTGGGACGAAACATCACCATCAGAATTGAATACACAGTGGCAAAAGTTGAGAGGACAGTGTATACTTCAATGAGCTGAAGATCAGAAGATATATGTTGTCTGTCCTAATCCTATTCGAATTGATATTCATGGAATTTTCTGATGCTTCCATGCGAGCTCATGGAGCATGAATATATATCTGAAAAGAATCGGGCTCAATGAACATACAATGGTTTCACTACTTTGCTCAAAAGTGAAGGTTGCTTTCTCAAAATCACTCACAATTCCTATGTTGGAACTATGTGCAGCCTCATTACTCGTGAAGTTGGTCGTAACCATTGAACAGGCTATGAGTATTCTGTTCAAGAATATTTATCTATGGTCAGATTCTACAATAGTGTTGGGGTGAATTGGTAGGTCTTCTGATACTTCACAAACATTTGTTAGTAACAGGGTGTCTCAGATTCAGAGTTCATCTTCAACTGTGAATTAGAATCATATACGTTCTGGAGACAACCCAGCAGACATATTATCTAGAGGTATGCACTCTGAAACCATCTCAATTTGTCAGAAATGATGGACAGGTCCTGATGGGCTCACGATGAGTGAAATCGGAATAACCTGCATCCGATGTACATCCATCAGATGACTTGCCCGAACTGAAAGATTCGACAAAATCTTGTAATTATGTTACTATGGATGATGAAATCAATTTAGATTGGTTCAGTAATCTGAATCGTCTCAGAATGATGAAAGCCCAATGATTGAGATGGTTAGACAAAGTTAAAATGGAAAAGAATTTGAAAAATAAACTAATATGTGTAGATGAATCAAATTGCGCTATGACTGCACTCATTAGAATCACACAAATAAAATCTTTCAAAGAAGACATTCTGGAATCAAACAAGAATACACTTTTCAACGAAGTTCAACTCAAACTAAACCCATTCGTTGATAGTAATGATTTGCTCAGGGTAGTGGGTGGAATACATTTATCTCCGTTGGAATATTGCACCAAACATCCCATTCTGCTGTCAGCAAATCATAAAGTGACCATTCCATTGTTCGAATTGGAACATAGACGTTTATTACATGCTGGCCCTCAGCTTTCATTGAGTACGATAAGGGAGAACTATTGGATAATTGGAGAAAGAAACTTAGCTGGGAAATTATCACATAACTGTATTGTATGTTTCAGAGCAAATCCTTAGCCACTTGATCAAATTATGGGAGTTCTTGCTAAAGCAAGAGTAACACCCTCTATTTCTATTTATACTACTGACATCGATTATGCAGGGCCATTCTATATCAAACACATTCAAGGACGTGAGGAAAAAACCTCAAAGTGTTGGATAAGTCTATTTATTTGTTACTCAACGAGAGCAATCCACTCAGAAGTGGTAACTGATTTGACAACGAAATCATTCATTGCATGTTTCCGTAGATTCGTTTCATGAAGAGGTAAACCAGCAGGAGTATCTTCTAATGGGTCAAACTTCAAAGGGGCCGACGCAGAAATGAAGCAATTAGGTGAATTTCTTAAAACTCAGTCAATTTCGTTAACATCAACTTTCGCGAACGATGGTATTTCTTGGAAATTCATCCCATCTAACTCTCCTGATTTTGGTGGTATATGGCAGGCTGGAGTCCGTTCTTGCAAACATCATCTGAATCGAATATTAGGTATAGCGTCCCTGACATAGGTTATTCAACTTCACTTGCACAAATTGAGGCAGTTCTCAATTCCCGGCCATTTTCCCCATTCTCCTCAGGATAAGGATTTCCTCACCCCATCCCATTTCCTAATTGAGCGGCGCTTCACAACACTGCCAGATCTTGATTCAACAAATATCTCTACAAATAGTCTATACAAATTCCAACACATACAGATGTTGTATCAACACTTTTAGTCCAGATGGTCAAAAGAGTACTTGATGGAGCAGCAGCAAAGAACCTAATGGACAAAAGAGAAAGACAATCTAAAAGTTGGACAATAAGTGATTATTAATGACAACAATTTGTCACCACTTCACTGGCGGTTGAGAAGAGTTTATGCTGTATTTCCTAGACCTGATGGAAAGATTCGTGTTTCATCAGTGAAAACACAGAATGGAGAACTAACACGTGCCATTTCAGAACTGTGTTTCCTACCACTAAGAGATACAATTTGAAGAAAGGAACCTTCTAGAAGTGAACTTCATGACAAATTTTTCAACTTTTCATCAAACTATTGTTTCTTTATTTGATTCATTGGTCATATTGAAAAGACATTTCAAGGTGGAGGGAATGTTTGAGCTCTTTCTGATGTATGAAGCATTGTCTATATCAAACATTCAGTATTTCATACTGTTTCGAGTAGTTGCTATAAAGAATAATGATAAGTTTTGTTTTTTGGGAATTGTCAATCAAATCAATAAAATTGCATCAGAAATCTTATAGTTTTGATAATCTCTTATATTTGGAGTTCGAAAGCAAAATTCCTGATGAAATTCCTATATTCATTTGCGAATGCTCCGAACTGTTCAGTTGCGTTAGAATATTTTGTTGTCGAATTTTCTTGCATGAAACGTATTTTCTCAAAAACCAGACACATTCCTCCAGTCGAAATCACGTTACCCAGATGGAATATCTATTTTTTTCAGAAATTCACATTTGTAGGGATTCAATTTCGAATTTACTCGTTCCAAACGTTGTAACACTTCAATTGAATTTTGATAATGTCTTGTCAAATTACCACCAAGAACTAACAAATCGTTCAATGAATGAAACAGTTCTCATTGTTCGACCCTGACAAAGCAATAGTCACCGCACGAGAGGAAGTACTTGGACTCAGTTTCGACCCCATGGGTAATCTCATCATACGATACTGACCTTTATCAGTCGAGAAACTTGTGTATGATTGAGATAATGAGTCCAGCTCAATTTGATGAAAACCCCGCGATAAGTCATGATGTGTGAAGAACATTGATTGATTAATGAAATAGCATTCTCCTCAATCCCTTTTTATTTTGAGAAACGATAGTGAAAAACTATCCTACATTCCTTGTTACCATTACTGTCTGATTTTTTCAAACCACTGATTTTTTTCCAACATATTAGAATTTTTCCAATATATTGGATTTTTTTTTCTTTATGTTGTGTGACCCCCAGAAGATTTCGTTAAATGCAACAGAAGAAACAGAATTTACAAAAATAAAGTATTTCATTATCAAAGACCATTGTATTCCTGAAGAATCGGGTAGAGACATAAACACGTTGAAGTTAACCCAGGTGACGAAGTCTGATGGAGCATTGTCCTGATGGAAGAAATGTAAAAAAATGTGTTGAAATATTGAAAAATCCCTTGATATATTATGTTTTGCTAGACATGGTTATTGTTGTAGCAGATATATTTTGTGAACATATAGTGCAAATACTAATGAATACAGCAACAAAAGTATGCAAATCACACCAGACGTTGGTTTTGTAGGTTAGAAATGGCATGTCAGAATTGTCAAGTTCATGAGAAATATATCTTTGCAAGCGGCATAGGAAGTGCTCTTCCTTTCACACTCAACAGGCATCAGAAGTTCGTTGTTAGGCAACGTTCCAAGTGATTTCACTGAAATTTGGTGATCGGAATTGATACTGCCATTGGGTGAACACAAAATGATGAAGTTCTCATTGGAAAGTAACACGAAATAATTTCATGACATTTTGAGGGGAATGTATGAGTTTCACAAGGCAGAAGATGTTGATTGACTATGCCTTGGCTGAATTCCTAGAGTCGCTATGCTCGGCTATGAACTATCACTCGCGGCAGTCAATCTAAGGCCCTCCGCACACGGGTCGATCGGCGACATGGGCGACGCGATTGCAATGACGTCACAATTTCTGCATTCGTACGATTCAAGAGACGGGAGTGTGTGTCATCCGCATATGGGTCGACGTTTTGTGTAGTCGACTCGCGTCTGATCAACTTAGTTACTCTATTTTTTGCTACTTCAAAAAGGAATGTTTCGCTAAAAATGAGCAGTTCCAATGGCGAGGAGGACATATTCATGTTTTTGTGGCACCGGCAGATCAGGAGAAGAAGAAGACAACGAAGTTTATGTGTGCATCCGTACATTGCACGAAATTTTCACACTCGACTTCTTGTTACTGCAAGTGAAATGCAAGAGAGTGACACAAAATTATTGGCATTTTATAGAATGTCGAAAGAATCATAATTATATTGATTTAGTGGAAACTCTTGCTCCAGCCATAAATTATATGGATTCAAATATGAGGGAATGTGTCAGCGCAGAAGAACACATACTAATAACATTGATGTAAGATTCATATTATTCAAAAAATCAAACAGTTCCTAGAGCTGAGAGTATAAATTGGAAACATAAGATTATATTATGTTCTAGTTACTGAAAGTAAAGAACTAAGGTAGTTAACACAAATATTCACAATGATTGAAAAATCATTGAACAACTTTCTCCATTGAGACGCAAGATTCACTCGATCAAACTGCTTCCTAGCTAATCGCGTGAGACTGATAATGAGGAGATCTTAAATCGTACGTTTCTAGACGACCACTAAATGACCCGTGTGCGTGATCCAGATGCTTTGCTTAGGAAGTCGAGTAGAGGGGAGACCGTCGTACGATTCGAATCGCGTCGCCCATGTCGCCGATCGACCCGTGTGCGGAAGGCCTAATATTCTGCTGCCTGGTAAAACAAATAACTATTTTATACTAGGAATGTCATACCATTCTTGAATGTATAACAAATTGGGAGATGGAAACTAGATGTTGCCAAACTCGATGGATCAGAGTGACCTTGTTTTACGGAATATTACACAATACACGAATTGTTTACTGATGTTTATAAAACACCACGAATGTATTTATATGATTGTTGCAGGTGTTTTCTTGGGGTTAGATCCAAATTTGGTACTCTTGGACCCTGAAGATGTGAGAACCGTATTGATCAAGGACTTCAATAGTTTTGTGGACCGTGGGATTTATATGACCAATAAAGTTCCTATCACTGTACATATGGTTTCACAGAGAGGCCCAGAATGGAGGAATGCCAGGGTTCGTTTATACTTCCAGCTATTTTCATTGTTGCATATCTTGTTGATAAAAACTGATCCAGTCACAGCGCAGATCATTTTCATCATTTCATGACTATGCAGTATTGGTTCTAGAGAATATTTTTTCCAGTTATATGAATATATATACAGGGTGACCCAGGGTTAAACCGCCAAATATTCAGGATCAAATTTTTAGGCAAAAATAAGACTTTTTCTTTCCATAAGCATGTGTCCTAACTTGCTTCAGTTTGGAGATATAGGGTGTCAAAGTTTCTAGAAAAAATCAGTTTTTCATTAATTACTCAAAAACCTGTGGGCTGATTAAAACTTGGCATGCTCATTTGAGGTTATAAGGGGCTGCTATTCACTGTTTACTAAGAATAAAATCATTATCTCCAGTAGCGTCCCAGAGGGTAATCTATCTAATATTAGGATAAATCATCGTACGATGGCTGCACCACTATTTTCCGGAAATATGGATATGTCGCGGTCAAGACAGCCCCTTTCCTAGGCTTGCGCGCTCTCCTGACTCGACCCTTATGGATTTTTTTGTATGGGGTTCAATAAAATCCATTGTTTATGCTGAGCCCATCAATGAAGAAGATACTCTCCGGGAAAGGGTTGTCCAAGCATCACGAGAGATCACACTAGCGGAGTGACGTGCAGCTGCACGATCTGTGAAACGTAGATACGAACTTTGTATTGTAAAAGTTGGTGGTCATTTTGAGCAGTTTTTGTCGTAATATCAGTCAGATAGTTTTATCCTACTACATGCAGGAAAATGTTTATTTTTTTATTCGAAAATGAATAGTGATCATAAACAAATTGATGAGAAGAAAATTTATATTCCTGAAAGTTGAATTTGAAAAATAAACATACAAATAAAACTGTGGCGTACAATGATTTATCCTAATATTAGATAGATTACCCTGGGGGACTCTTCTGGAAATGACAATTTTATTCTAAATGAAAAGTAAACAGGAGCCCCTTATTTCCTCAAATAAGCATGCCAAGTTTCATCAAAATCAGCCCACAGATTTTTGTGTAATTGATGAAAAACTTTTTTTTTTCTAAAAACTTTGACACCCTATATCTCTAAAATGAAGCTAGTTAGGAAAGGAAAAGTCTTATTTTTGCTTGAAAAACTGATCCTAAACGTTTAGCGGTTCAACCCTGGGTCACCCTGTATATAGAAATATATTGAATTTTTGCGAGAATCTGTTCCAATTTTCTCACGATGTTAATGGAGATACAGAAAAACTGAGGATACCTTCTTGGAGCAGTTTGTGATGGAATTTAACGTGATGATATTGATTTATCTATGCAACGTTCTGTATATGTGAAACTATCATCAACAGATCCATTCCAAATATACAGTCATGTTATTTCGATAACAAATTTTGAATAATTTCTACATTCTGAGGACAACCATGTATCATAAAATTCTGGTAGACAATTTGTTTGAATATGTTTCGACATAGTGATAGTCATCATGAAATTTTTTCTGAAATTTCAAATGGAATATTACATTAATTCTGCCTATCAACTGATGATGAATGACATTTTTTTTCGAAGATTAGTTTCAAAACTCTGATACTGACAAGTTCCTTCAGAAAAATGTAAAGGCACAACAAGTTTTATAGGGAATATTGGCCTTTTGTCAAATTGGCTGAATTTATGATATGTTATAGTTCAAGACATTCTGAACAAAATGTAGGGATATTAAACCGTTCTTATGACTAGTTTTGACGCTAGAGGCCGCTGAAACGTCTCAAACTTGAATTCTTTTCTCCTAATGAATAACGCTCTTTGAGCCATTATTTTATTTCATTTTCACATGATAAGTCACTACTAGAAGTATTCATCAATATTGTTGCTACTGGTCAACATTTATACGATGTGTTCCAGCTATTATTGTTTAAGACGATAATGATATTGATCAATTTTATAGAAAAGGATATTGAGTAATGAGAAATCGAGAAATGTCCTATTTCAATTACTGAATAATTCATTCGAATTTCATGTTCATCCATTGTATAACTAGAAAATACACGAAGATATCAACCCGTTTCATATAGCACTAGCTGAATGATATTCGAATCAACAAAAAAAATTATAATATTCTATATTGATGTGATGATGTTTTTTCCAGTATCAATCTCCTATTTGTCAAGGTTTGAGCAGGAATGTTATTTCCACGTTTTTCCTCCCAAAACAGTTCGTATATATAGCATCAAAAAATCAGCACTAGTAACAAAGTTCACAAACTATTCAATATCTGCGATCCTGCCTCATCAACTTAGGATGATCAATTGATGATTTTTGAAACAATAGTACGATTTTCAAGGGCGTTACATCTGAAATAAACTGACATGCATTTGAAAAAATATACTTGGTATTATCAGAATTTTTTGACGAAGTTACAAGGAATATTCATCTGAAGATGAAGATGAATAATGATATTACTGATAATATCTGCTACTGTTATAGCACGAGTTGATAACGTTGTATATCCCCTATTTATATACAAGGTGAACAATAAATTATAATAATAATAATAATGATAAGAATAATGATACTTATAATGATAAAAGTTATAATGATATTAATAATAATAATAACGGCTAACATGCTTGCTGTTCCGATCCTACTTCACTCATTTGAAGTGATGAAGTGGACTCAAGTCGAGCTGCGACAACTTGACGTAAGTACTCGCAAGATGATGCAACTCCATAGGATTCTGCATCCAGATTCCTCCGATTTATGATTATACATACCTGGAGACCAGGGTGGCCGTGGACTCTTGAGCTTGGAGTATCTCCATAACAAAATGGTTCTGGATGGCGCCTGCAAAGTCATCAGGAGTTTGGATCCCCTTCTGAAAATGGTCAAAACCCATGAAGAGGCAGGAGTAGGAGCTTTTCTTCATAGGGCAGCACGTCGAGCAGCCGATGAATTGTCTTCGAGGCGATTATGCACCTGCTGTCTTCTTGCACGGTGTATGCAAACTCGGCCTATATCCATAGACACAATGCAGCATTGCGAGTTCTCTATTATCACTTGAGGCACTCGTACGGAATAGACGAGACCCCAGTGCTGCCCTATGCTCTGGGGGATATTGTGTCCGTTGTGGAGAATGAGAGGTGCCGAATTTATTGGAACTTCTCATTCCCCACCCTCAGGCAAATACAAGTTAACAAGCCTGATGAAGTCCTCTTCGACCATCAAACTAAAGCGATGTTCGTTATCGAGTTTTTGGCGCCAGCCGAACCATCATCGTTTTGAAAGAGGAGGAGGAACGGACTTAATATCGGGATCATATCTTCGAACTCCGCAGGCTCTATCCAGACCATTCTGTGGAATTGGTCATCGTGATAATCGGCTCCCTAGGAGGCACACGACACACGCTGCACTCGGAAATCCAGAAAATCCTAGCGTGCAGCGATGAAGCACACATCCTGGCTGGTGGAATGCAGAATGCCGTCATACTTGGATCATTGCGTTCACTCAGGGCACACGGTTCTTGGTCCCAGTGATAATTCACCTCACAGGCTGTGGGGAGTAGTCACTGGATTTCATTCATCACGACTCTGCGTGGCGTCGGAGGCCGCAGAGTCGTGACTGGAATTACATAAAATCAAATTATGATAATATCAATAATAATAATGATAAATGTTGCCAATGGAAGAACTGTTTCATAATTGAAATGCGACACGTGACAATATCCTTTTTCATTGAATTACGGTAAAGTAACATATTTTATCTTCCCCATAATTGCTGGAACACACTATACAATTCTTGACTAACAGCAACAATATTGAAGAAAACTTCTTGTAGTGACTCCTCCTATCAAAGAATGATATAATTATAGCTCAAATTGAATGATTCGTCAGGAGAAAAAAAATAAACATTGAGATTTTAGCGGCCTCTAGCGCCAAAACAATCCATCAAAACAGATTGATATTTGGATATTTTGTTCAGTATGTTTTGGACTATAACATATCAAAAATCCAGTCGAATCGACATCAGGTCAATTTTTCCTATAAAACGTGCGGTGTCCTTTTATCATTCTCTTTTATATCTGTTACAGGAGTTTGCCTCCTTCATCACTAATTTATTCACTCAGTAGTTTCTCCTATTTTGATTTTACCATGGAATAATTTGTTTCATTCTATCGATAAATTAAGAATGAAGCAATATCATATACAATTCTATTAGTTAATAATGGATATGTTACTAAGCAGCTCTAATGAACAGAGAATATATCTGTTCAGAAAAAAAAAAACATTATTATTCTGAACATTATTGTTATACATTTCTTTGGTTATAATCACTGATCGTGTTGTCAATGTCCAACCATTGAGGAATTTCAAATGAAAAATCATTCAACATTGAACGATAATTTGAAGCGATGCATTGATGATGATTAAGTGAAATATCTTTCTCCATTCTGAAGTATGAATTGACGAGTACATCATGATCTGAGAAAAAAATGACCATATAGAAGTGGAACTGATGATATGATTTCTCCATGATTTCAAGAAAACCTTGATGATGGTGGACACTGAGTCGAACCACATTCAAACTCTCTCGTATATAACATGTTTGAATCAAGAATAATAAACCTTCCAGAAACAGTTAACACATAACCAGTACTGTATATTCGAAAAATGAGTTGATGATGGTTCTACGAAAACAAGACAACGTATTGAGCAATACTTAGAATCGCATCAGAAGTTGATATGGTATTTTCAGTTTTTCTTTATCTTCAACGATGATTGTGAAGAACTTCAATAAGATTTTCACCAAAATACTAATCACACGACATGTTTTGCCAAGACAGTAGCTACTTCAGGTGAAATACTAGTACAAAAAACTGAACTAACATTGGCTTGCCCAACTTTTATATCCAACTCTCCCAACCTGAAGGATTAGAATTACCTGTAGAATGTCGATAAACCTAAGTTTTTAGAAAGTAGCAGTAGCCACGATATCTACATC